CTGTGAGATGCAAAATTTGAGCAGGGCTTCCTGCTTGGTTCCTCCTAGTTGGCACAAATGCTTACACTCCTCCTGTGGCACGTGCAAGCAACACTTCACAGGTGATGGACCTATGAATCTGCATACCATACTAATGCAGATTCTGGTCTAGGGAAACCCTGATTTATGTGACCAGAATGAAAGACACTGAGTTGCATTTTGCTTGTTTTACACTGTATGGATCTCAGATATGCCCCACCATTCTTTTTCAACAGAATGACATCGAGAAAGTAGACATGAGTAAAACCCTCACAAGGACTTTTGCGAGCCTTCTGGGCCCTCTTCAACTTCCTCCCCAAGTTCCTCAGATGTTTTGTGTCTGAGAAATAACCTCCGCATTTCCTTTCCGTTCTGAGTTGAGTTCAATGTCGGCTTGACTGTTGCTAGGCTAATAGAAACCGTTTTGGTTTCCCCCAGAATTCCTCAGATGGATTGCCCGAATGAGAACCTCCTAAGTTCACCTCAGAATTTCACTTCCAGCAAAAATCTGGGGTATCTGTAGAAAAGGAGGACAATAGGATTTGCCGAAGGCAGAATTCTAATGTTGGAATATATGAGCGGCTTTGAGATAACAATAAATAGGCAGAAATAAATTTGTGTCAGGCCTTACTGAGATAGTCCCAGAACTTTTCTTCAGGGCTAGGCCTCAGTTCTAATAAAGAAATAAGACCAGAGTTCCTCTGAGCTTGTGCAGTACCAACCTTCTCCTTTACCGTTATGTAATTGCATCCAGACATTTCAGAGGAGTAGAGAGCCTCTGTGTTGGGAGGGGCGGGAGAACGATGCCAAGGTACATGTGAACTGTGATCTTGCTTTTACAGTTTCCTTTGCATGTAGATGTGAATACTTGTAATAGAGACAGAGCAAGAGGCTTGTTTTTCTGAACAATCCAATTTCTGTTTGCAGGCTCCAGTGGAATTGTACACTGAGTTTTCAGTGACAATTTCCACAATTGCAAAGGTCAGTTTTGGAGCCTTCTGAGATTTCCTTTGAGCATATTATCGTTTTCAGATGTGCATCCACCACAGTCCTTGTAAGACTTCCTATAAAAGACTCTTTACAGTGACCATGTAGATCAGGGGTGTCAAGCTCATTTGTTATGAGGGCCGGATCTGACATAAATGAGACCTGGTTGGGCCGGGCCATGTGTGTCATAAAATGTAATGCCAGGTAGCAGAGATATAAAGGACACAAACACAAAGATGTTATTTTACTTAAAATAAAAATATGCTTAAAACATTAGCTCTGTAAGCTGCAAATCTACTTTTGGTTTATTGACATTCACCACAGAAGTCTCATGCTCAGAGTTCTGCATCTAGGATCCAGGTTAAAACATGAAATGGCTGAATGATTAAGAGAGTCTGGCGAAGCAAGCTATGATGCAGTAGCAGCAGCAGCAGAACTGGAAGCAGGAGATGGCCAGTTCCACTGTGGACCTGATAGAAGCCATCCGGGGGCCGCCGCATGTTTGGCACCCCCGATGTAGATGTTATGCAGGGTGTGTTGTGGATCAGCTGTGCTTCCTCTCCTTTCAGGCTGCTTACACAAATACCAAGGAAAGAAACAGCTGTCTGTGATCCTGAGCACAATGCTTTCGGGCCAACCAATCTAAAACTGGATTATATTTGTAACGGCAAAAATCTGCCAGTCGCATATGAAGTGTGTGGGGTTTTGTAACCTTTGCTGCAGTAAAAGCTTAAGTGGATTTTTCGATCGAATAAATGTGATCTGCTGCCACGAGAATGTATGAAACAGGTTCATGTGTAACTGCATTTTAGATCTTGTTATTGTATTTCTGTCGGATGTTGGTGTTATTACAGTCAAGGCTAAATAACAAAATGTACATATAGGGATGCTTTATGTGCATGTTTATACGAGAGCTACTGTGACATCACATGCTCTCTGTTCTTGAACTTGCTGGGGATGAATGCAGGGGTCCATATGAAGATGCTGTATTCATAGTCAGTCCTGTCATCTGTGGTCCTTTCCACACTAGGCCTTTAATGCTGGTTCAACACTGTCTCCTACTAGCTATTCTGCACTACACTCGTGTTCACCCCTCTTTTATCCCCCCCCTTTCTTGTCAATTCTGCATTACATTGTGGTCACCCCGGATTCAGACCACTGTTGCCCTGGGGTATATAGATCTTGTTCCTTTCCGCACTAGACCTTAAATCCTGATTCAACCATGTCCCTGAACTTGCATTCTACACTGAACGTGAGCTCACCCGTGTAATTATCTCAGGGTATTTTTTTGTTTCCAAATTGCATTGAGGTCACCCCAGCTTCGCCCCACACTTGTCCCAGGATAAACAGATGCTGTTATAACCAGGGATGAATGCAAGGTATTGTGTCGCGAGTTGAACTCTGATAAGACCAGGGATGAGATCCAAGTGCGGAAAGGACCCTTGTTTTGCTGTGGTCTTTCCCTCAATCTGGAGTGGCCCCGGTGCAGATTTAAGTGTAGAATTTTTAAGTCGGTTTCAATCGTCCCCGCCCCTTTCCTGCCATCTAGGACAAACACCCCTGTTTGCAATGCAGAATTTATAACCTGAAGCAAGTAAGCAACTTAGAGCGGGACAAAATTAGTGCAGAAAACAACAGATAAACAGAGATAACCGCAAGGTAAATGGCTGCGAGTCGAACACAGAGAAAACCTGGGGTGAGGTCCAAGTGCGGAAAGGGGCTGTATTAGCCGCCTTGGCTGGCAAGGAGCTCTCCAAGGTCTGCAGGCAGAGGTCTTTCTCATTAACATTTCTTCTTAAGTGTTGATGTGAGGAATCTAAACCTGGGGCTTCCTGCATTCAGAGCACATGCTCTATCACTGAGCCACAGCCCTTCCCCCTTGGCTAGTGTGCTGGGAGTCATGCAATCCAGGAATCTCTGAGACTTCAATAAGCAGGGCTATTTTTGGGCAGGAACGCACAGGAACGGAGTTTCGGCTGGCTCCTGAGTTGGCCACACCCAGCAGGAACTCATTAGCATAATAGGCCACACCCAACAGCAGGAACTCATTAGGATTGGCTACAGTAGGCATGTGTGGCCTAACATGCAAAGGAGTCCCTGCTACAAAAAAAGGCCCTGGGTTTTGACAACAAACAAGGTAAACAAAATAAGAAGCAAAAGGTGGGTGTGGCTGGATGACCACACTTCTGGCAACAGGGGGCTGTGACCTAATATGCTAATGAGTTGTGGTGTCAGGGTGTGGCCTATTATGCTAATGAGTTCCTGCTGGGCTTTTTCTACAAAAAAGCCCCTGTCAATAAGTATGTCAATCATGCAAACAAACGTATGAGCTTAAAAATCTGTATATGAACTCTCAGCTCATCCAATGACTTGACTCCTAGCAGCGCAACCTCCCCCATCTTTCCCTCTCTGCAGTCATCTGTGTCGTCTGAAATCGTGGTTCTGCAGGTCGGTAGGGGAAAGCCCCCCCCCCCAACCCAGAATAGTCTGGGCACAGAATCAGCAGAAATTGACATTCCCTTCTTCTATAAATGGAAATGCTGTTCCCTTGGAGAAACTGGTGTAGCACTGATTTTATTTATTTATTTATTTATTTTTGACATTTTTACCCCCCCCTTCCTGCGATGCAATGGCATCTTAGGATCCAAACCATTATGGTGATGTGGTATTGTACGTGGGCATGGGGCTGCTCAGCGAAACAGCGTCCCTTTTGATTGTGTGAACTAGAGAACACATGATCCATTTTACTTGGCAGCAGAACAGCAGGCTTGGCTGTAAAGAGGATGGATGCTGAGCAGTTCGGCCAAGAATATACCATTTCCCCACAACTGCATCATGTCATGCCTGACTAATATCATCCGATACTATATTTTTTCATCTCCAGTAGAACAGCAGGTCTTTAGGCTTTCATAAAAGTATGGCAGTTACAATCTCATTTAAAGGCTATCAACACTGACCAACATTACCATTACCTTTAAACACATTGCTGTGTCCTTGACTTCGGAGCTACTGCACTAAAACAATGTAATTGGGTGTACTTACCGTATACTGGTATCAGCAAAAAAATATCTTTTTGGCATTTTGCTCAGCTGTACGGAGAGTGATTTGCTCATTTTGTCGATACCTGGGAAGTGTTTGAAATGGGAGGGAGCAGTTACCTAATTTTCCAGAGTTTAATTTTAGGTGAGGCTCACTAGATATCAGGAGGCCCAGACCTGAATCTGAGTCCAGTGTTAGGGCCGCATGAATTCACATTGAAGGATGAAGGGCCACGAAGGTATCGATGCCCGTGAACCATGTGTGGGTCCAGATGGAGGTCTTGGTTATGACTCTAGTAATCTAACATTGTGTTCTTGTTGTGACGGTGAAGATTTCATCAGAAACCATGCATGTTTCAGGGAGGGAAAAGCTAGCAAAGAGAAAAAGGGTAGGACGATTAAGTCTCATGTCCATAGGAACATCATAATAGAATGCTGCGGTTGTCCTCCGTGGCCTTCCTAATTAAAAAGGCAAAATGGTGCCAGTCCTGATGTTCCTTGGCCCTCCTGCATTGGTTGAGTGCTGGGGCCTTTGCTCTGGAGTCGCAAAGACGTCCGTTCCTGGAGTGGTGCTGTGACTCTACCCCAGTCATTGGGCTATCATTCGCTGCAAGGATTGAAGACATTAAGCTTCTTTTTACTGAGTCAGGCCATTGATCTCTCAAGGTCAATATTATCTGCTCTGACTGGCAGCGGGTCTCCTGGGCTGCAGTCAGAGTCCTTTCTCATCACTCACTGCCTGGTCCTTTTTAACTAGAGATGCCTGGGATTGAACCTGGGACCTTCTGCATGCAGAGCTGGTGTTCTGTCGCTGGGCCGTGATCTCTTCTCAAGAACTGATTCGGTAGAACCGAACAGATCTTTGTACTCGACAGCCATTTTTACCCAACACGTTTATCTTTTCTCCCTATGCTTTTTAAATGACAGCCGACTGTTTTGTTTCTTTTGTTTCTGGAGAAATAGTGTTTCAGAAAGGGCAGGCAATAGACACGGGAGAAGTCGAAATTGGAGATCAAGTGATGCAGACTATTCCTCCGGGCCTCTTCTGGCGTTTCCTGATCATGATCCATCACCCAATGTACCTGAAGTTCAATGTCTCACTGGCAAAGGACTCTCTGCTGGGAATTTATGGGAGGCGCAATATTCCCCCCACTCATACGCAGGTAATTTTTTTTACAACGTGTCCTCTTTTCATGATGAATGGCACTTTCATGGAGACCATTTGTATGTGCGTGCGTGTATATTATTGAGTCTGTGACAAATCCAGAGTTAGTCCATGAGAATCTGTTGCAATTAAAAAAATAATAAAACAACAAAGAGTCTTGTGGCACTTGAAAGATTAAGAGGAACAACCGTGAGATAATCTTTCGTGAGCCCATACCCGTTTAGTCAGATGTGTGACATGTGAACCTTGGACTCGATAAACCCTGGGATTGTTGTTGTTCAGTCGCACAGTCGGGTTCGACTCTTCGCGACCCCATGGACCAGCTCCCGCCAGGCCCTCCTGTCTTCCTCCGTCCTTTGAAGTTTGCTCAGTTTCATGTTCATTGCATCGATGACACTGTCTAACCATCTCATCCTTTGCCGTCCCCGACTTCTTTGACCTTCAATCTTTCCCAGCATCAGGGTCTTCTCCAGTGAGTGCTCCCTTCTCATTGGGTGGCCAAAGTATTTGACCTGGGATTAGCTAGCTAGAAAAGAATGGTCCCACCTTTCAGGATTATGTGCACTGTCCATCTTATTTTGCCAGTTCACCACCAGATAGGAGTCATCCATACCCACTCTGTTTGAATCATTTACTGTTTTGACTTGTCTTGGTTTTCACTTCTGGTCTGCAATGCTATGTTTGAAAACGAGACATTCTGGCCTCACTGTCTGTATAATTCCAGTTTCTCCTTCCATGCCAGTTTGGTGTAGTGGTTAGGAGTGCGGACTCTAATCTGGGAGAATCGGGTTGGCTTCCCCACTTCTCCACATGCAGCTGCTGGTGTGACCTTGGGTCAGCCACAAGTTCTTTCAGAGCTGTTCTCTCAAGGGCAATTCTTGAAAGAGCTCTCTCAGCCCCATCTACCTCACAGGGTATCTGTTGTGGGGAAGGGAAGGAGATAGTAAACCACCTCAGACACCTTCAGGTAGTGAAGGGAGGGGTATAAATCCATTCTCCTCCTCCTCCTCCTCTTCTTCTCTTCTTCTTCGTTTGTCTGTAACTTGATGTATGTATGTTTCTGCCCACTGAGTGCAACACTTCATGCACCTGACCAGGTGGGCTGTGGCTCGTGAAAGCTTATGCCCCTGTAAATTTGTTCACTCATAAGGTACCAAAAGACTCCTTTAAAAAATTTTGTTATTCAATACTAGCATTCTCCCCTACCCTTTGCTTTGCTTTCTCCACTGTGGCTCCCATCTTATGGAGTGGCTTGCCCAAGGAGATGAGGAAAGTTCCTTCTCTCCTGGCTTTCAACAAACTATGCAAAAATGAATTATTCAAGAGGGCTTTTCTGCACAGGTAATAGGGTTGCACTGTGCAAAATGGTTCACAAATTTACTTGGATAAAATATTAGGGATGGGCATGAACCGGTTCACGAGCCAAAATACAGCACAAACTTGGCCCGGTTCAGAGCCCCCAAAGTGACGTTCGGGGAAGGCACCTTCCTCGAACATTGACCTGTCTTTTGTTTGGTTCGGCTGTTGAGGCCATTTAAACCTAACAGCTGAGCAGCACGGGGCTGTAGCTGACCTGTTAGGTTTAAATAGCTGTGAGCCATTTCAGCCTAACAGCTGATGGGCACACCTGCCCCACTGTTAGGCTGAAATGGCCGCTAGCAATTTAACCCACTGTTTTTCCTCCCCTGTGCTTTGAAGCAGGGAGAAGCAAAAAAGACAGGCTGCCAGCCATTTAACCCTTCCTAGGGGATCCAAACTGGCCTGTTTGTTTCAGGGCATTTTTGACTCGGTTTGAGGTTTGGTTCGGGGGCTGCCCCAACCGAACTGGAATGTTTAGGTTCGTGCTCATCCCTATAAATTATTAGGAACTACGGGCTATACTGCTGTTTATAGATTATTGTAGGTAGGATCCTATTATGTAATTTTGTACCACTTAATTTGTCATGTGAATACTTATGCTATGCCTCAGTTCTTTCTGGTGGCTCCAGACTTCTAATATCCTAATACAGTGGTTATTGAATGTCCCATTTTGTTGATTGTACCGACTTACTCTGATTAATTCGCCTTGAGTCCTTGTGAGAAGGGTGGACTATAAATCATGTAAATAAATAAAAATAATTATCAATTGCACCTTGGCAAATGGGAAAAAAAACTTTCCTGGCATAGAGAAGATATTACACGTATCAACTTTGTTGAAATGTGACACACCATCACTACTGTATACAGCTCCAGCAAACAGGAGTATCTGATGAAGAGAGACTTGGCTCTCAGAATCTCATACCCCCCAAAAAAACCCTTGTTGTTCTCTAAGGTGCTACTGGGCTTGAGTCTAGCGGTCCAGTGAACAAGACCCTATACCCTCTTTCACTCTTTCGGAGCTTTATTATGCGTCTTCCTTTAGGACCTTGTCTCAGATTTGGGACGGAAATACAGATTCCTGATTTTGATTTCCTGAGGTATTTTTTGTTTCTATCCTTAGGAGTCCTAGAAATTGTAATTCCCTGCATCTCAGTAGGGACCACAGAGTGTTCATAAGAACATAAGAACATAAGAGACGCCAATGTTGGATCAGGCCAAAGGCCCATCCAGTCCAACACTCTGTGTCACACAGTGGCCAGAAATACCAGGTGCCATCAGGAGGTCCATCAGTGGGGCCAGGGCATTAGAAGCCCTCCCACTTTTGACCACCCCCCAAGCACCAAGAATACAGAGCATCACTTGCCCCAGAGCCCCTATCTATACCTTGTGGCTAATAGCCACCGATGGACCTCTGCTCCCTATGCTTATCTAATTCCCTTTTGAAGCCGTCCATGCTTGTAGCCGTCACCACTTCCTGTGGCAGTGAATTCCATGTGTTAATCACTCTTTGGGTGAAGACACCCAAACATTTTCAATTGCACACGTTGTGTTCCTGCCCAAGAATTAAAACTGCAGGGAGAGGCCCTCTTGACTGTCCCACCAATCGAGGAAGGTCATCTGGTGGGCACAGGAGAGAGGGCCTTTTCCGTGGCAGCCCCATGATTATGGAATAACCTCCCCAGGGAGGTGTGCCATGGTTTTTTTTTTTGTTTACGTTGTAAGTTGCCTTGAGTTCCATAAGGTAGAAAGGCAACCAATAGACGTATGAGCATATAATTTCTTCTCTAAAGATGAAGAGCACCTGTCCTCACTGCCATAGACCAAGCTTTTGATATTGAAGATAAATTTTCATTCTAGAAGATAACCGGATAGGTTTCTCTTCTGGTCACAGATTTGCCATAAAATGGCACCTCAGCCTGGTTTTGTCTCTAACAACATCTATAAAAAACACCAAAATCTACAAAATCTTCATTTTTTAAAGGGAACCAACTTTAGGGGAACTGCACCCCTAAACGCAGTTATTGGGGGGGCATGAACAGGAGGTGGCTATGAAATCCTAGGAAACCTCATCACCTGCATCTCAGTAGGGATATCCAACTTCAAGGCATCTGGTTGACCAGCAGAATTGGGAACTGTGTTAGCTGCAACACCTGGGTCTCTGTTTGAGTTGGGATGGGGGAAATTAGCTAAGAGGCCATTTGTTTAATAGGCGCACAAGCCAGGGATCGCACTCCAACTATACCAGAGTGAGAACCTACTCGGAGTGGCACAGACAACAGACAGGAAATATCTTTTATGAAATTTATTAAGAAAATAACCCTAATACATTCAGCTAATTACATAAAAATATCACATACACACACACCAGAGCTAGGAAATAAAAGGGGTGAAACGATCTTAAAAATATCAGTGACAAAACAGGGTGAAGCGTGGGTGGGGGGAGGTTGCATAGCTACCTGTCCAAATGTGCAGAGGTCCATGGAGAAAGGATTATGGCCCAAACACAGTTTGGGGGTGAACTGCAAGTTGACATCAGGGCAGACACACAATCTGAGGCCGTGTGCCTTGGCGGATATAGACACTGGAAAACAATGCAGACCCGTGGGAGGCCTTGAGGGTCTTGTCCCAGGTGAAGACAAAAGATTATCTGGACCGATGAGGGGTCCTAGGGGGTTTGATGCCAGGAGGGACAAGACCTAGGTGTGACCAATGATTTTTCGGAGGGGCAAGGTCTGGATTCACAATAGCATTGATGGGATTACTGGAGATGGCTGGATAGGCGTGATTACCACTGTTGGTTCTGCCAGAGCTGGTTGAATTGGTTCCCAGATTCAGACAAAGGGTGGGAAATGGGGCCCTGATAGATGCCAGGAAGGATCATTAATAATTTGAATGTTTTATTGCTTTATCTCCGTATCCTGCGTGAGGGGGCAGGGAGGACAGGTGTTGAGACAAAGGAGTGTTCACACAGGTATAGGAGTCACAAAAGGGACTATGTGCAGAGCTGGAGAAAGAAGGGCTATTCACCAGGTAGCTACTGAATAGCTTAATGGAAATGCAGATCTGCACCTGGTGGAACTTGGCATTGTTTAATATGCATACCTTTGCTGGGTGGAGGGGAAAGACTGGTGATTGCTTGGAGGGCTGCCTTGTGAAACCTGAAAATGGAGACCCTTTTCCATAGCTTTCGACTTGCTCTGTGTTTCAGAACCAAGAGTGCCTTCCTTGGCCTGAGTTTGTGGGTCCCTGGTTCAGGTTAGAAGTGGGGCACCCCTGCTGTTGGGGCTACCTTTCAGTAAAGCAGTGACTCTGGGTAACAACTGTAGAGCATTATGGGCTTTTTGTCTGTCCAGATGTGATTAATGGATGATGTTTGTCCCATAGAACGATTACAAGCAGATGACTCAGACATGCAGATATCTTAAATCATGAATTTCAGACAGCAGTCAGTTTTTCGCAAGGGCTGTGTTTCCAAGAAGGAATATGTCAAAAGACAGAAAGGAACAGGTGGTTCCCCCACCCCTAGGAATTCTGAGAAGCAGAGAATATTTTTTTTGCTGTACAGGTAAAATTTCTCAGAATCCTGTTCGCGAATGCTGGAGAAGACCCTTCCAAACAAGAGCTAATACTTTTTAAATGGGCATTAATTGGCTTATTCATTTATGCTCATACTGTCACTTAAAACAGACAACAGAAGAAGGGTTTCGGTGTCCATTAGGCTAATCCTGAGAGATAGTTCAGAAGACTATAAGTTGTGGATAATTAGAACTATACGTCCAAATGGGTTTGCTGTGAAACACGCAGCAGACCATTTACGAGAGCATCTGTTTCAGAATTCTGAACATGCGTACCTTGCAATGAATTTAATTTAGGGTTGCCAAATCGATTTGACTCACCGGCGGGGGAGGCTCCTTCCCGTCTGGGAGTCTTCTGGGTGTGTGCGCGGAGCGTCACCGGAAGTGACGTCACACACTGGGCGGGGCCACACCATTTGAGGGGGAAACAAAGAGTTTTCCCCTCAAATGGCGTGGCCCCGCCCCCAGCGTGCGACGTCACTTCCGTCTGTTTGGATTTGTGGCTTTAAACATCTCTTTCAGATCAAAGTTCAAGAACAAAAACAGTTAAAGATGTTCACACTTTTCAGGAAGAGATTCTCAGTCTTATTTGGTGCTGAGCAACTCAATGCTGCAGTAGTTTCTTCACTAATGACGTTGGTGTGCCTCTCTCACACCCACACAGTATTTTGCTTCCATCATTTGTTCACGCAGGCCTTTCAGTGTAATGTGCCCTCCTGTCCTGTAGAGGGCGAGTACACACTGGAAGAGCTACAGCGAGCAAGAGACAGAAGATTCTCATTGGCTGTGATGTCACTGCCCCCTTGGTTCAATCGCAGTGGTATTAGAGGCACAAAGTGAAATATCTATACATGCTCCTCTAGTATGTCCTGGCTTTGGTTGCCTTTGCAATGTTCCTCTGTGCATGGGGCCCACTGGAAATCATTGTCTCCTCCCCCTGATGGGTCCCTTTTGCCTACAGACCTTCCTTTCCTTTCCCTTCCCTGACCTAATGGGGAAAAAAAACCCATTTTAATAGGACTCGTTGTACTAAAGGCTAAAGGATAAAACCTTGCTATTGGTCCCTGCCACACGGGGGGGGGGGGGGGGGGAGGGGGGGAAAGGTGATCTGCACGCGCCACGGGGGGGGGGGGGGGGGGGAGGAAGCGTGGGCAAAGTGCAGATTTTGAAAGCCGCACCAAAAGAGACACTCGGCGGCATCATACAGATCCCGTGAGCCGCCACGCAGTTGCTCCCCGGCACGATCAGATGCCGGGGAGACCAGGGAGAAAGCGACAAGACAGAGGTGGAGGCTGCCGAACTGTGCATGTGTGAGCATGCGCAGTTCGGGCAGGGGTCTTGGATGCGCCGGCAGAAGGAGATGGCGCTTGATGCGGCCGTGCTGGTAAGTCCATCTCTGTAGGTGGTTTATTTTAGATGCGGCTCTTCAGCCTGAAGAGCCGGATCGGGGACGGGTGCGCAACGTTTCTCAGATGTCGCGGTGGGATCGCGCCCGTTTGCTGCGCCCCCGATCCGTCCCTCTCCCGGCCCAAAACCTTTCGTGTGACCGGGGCCATTGTTGGTTTGGGAATCATTGCTTGGCCACGATGTATTAAAGATGGGGGAAGCTTGTTGCTTCACTCACAGCTCCTCCTGCTCCTATCTAAGTTTGATGGCCAGCCAAGTAGTTTCCCTGAAGGAATTTACTCAATTGGCCAAGTATAATTACCTGCATTTTGAGCGCAAACCTGACAGCCAGTTAAAGCGCTTGTTCAGGTTGTTGTAATTGCAGCCATACTTCAATTCCAGTCAGATCATCTGCAGAGAACACTAAAAAACAGTTTATTTCAGTTGTCGGGGGGGGGGGGGGTGGGCTGCCTTGTAAAGTTCCTCAATGGTTTGGTTGAACTAACACCGAAGAGCTGAAAACAGTAAGGAGTGTGCATGCATCTGCCCAGGAAGCAAAAGCTCTTATTGGGTCCTTCTGTTTCAGTTTGATTTTGTGAAGCTGATGGATGGGAAGCAGCTAATTAAGCCGGAACCCAAACACTCGGAGGAACCTCAGCAAGCTCCCAGGAACCTGATCCTGACATCGATGCAAGAAACAGGGTTCATAGAATACATGGATCAAGGCGCTTGGCACATGGCGTTTTACAACGACGGGAAGAAAATGGAGCAAGTGCTCATGTTAACCACGGCCATTGGTAAGGTTGCTTGGATTATTTATTCATTTCCTAATGGTGGAGAACTGAACGGGGGATAAATTATTCAGCCAGATGTTTCAGCCTGGCATCTATTATGCAGGATCCCAAACAGAAGGCAAAGGCTCACCAAGGAGCATGGAGCACTTTTTTTTGGGTTGAGCAGCTGGCTGTCAGGTCAGAAGTGGCTGACAGTGTAGGCCAAAAATAAAGGGGAAGAAATTGCCACTCACTTCACAACGTTGCGGGCAGGAAAACCTGGATGGCAACACTTGCATTTAAGTTTTCAGCTCTTACTTGGATTCAGTTGGAGAAGTGGCTTTCATACTATTGTGAAGACCAGGGAAGAGAATTCCAAGCAGTGTTCCCTCTCAGCTGAGTTAGTGTGAGCTAGCTCACAGTTTTTTAGCCCCCAGCTCACACATTTTTGTCTTGGCTCAGGAAGGGATGGCTCCAGAGCAAGCTAATTTATGCAGTAGCCAAATCGCCTGCTCACGGCTTTAATGCCAGTCGCTCACAAAGTAGAATTTTTTCTTACAAGATTCCACAGCTTAGAGGGAACATTGATTCCAAGTGTTTTCAGAAAGTGGGTGGTGCCTGGTGGGGTTTTTGGCCAGCAAGGCCATTGGAAATTTGATTGACTCTGCGCATTTTTTAAAAAATGTTGCTTTAGCAGCAGTTGCCATCTAGGCTGCTGCTGGCGGCGGGGGGTGTCCAGTCTTGATCCACCCCCAAAGAGCCCCATCCTGCCCAATCTGCCCAGCATGATGACATCACCCAGAAGGTGACGTCATCATGCCGGGCACATTGGATTGGACACTCTAGCATTTGGGAAAGAAACTCTGTGGTCACCATAGAGTTTTTTTGCCAAAATGCTAGAGGGCCCCCGCGCGACGTGCCCAGCATGATGACGTCACCTCCGGGTGACGTCATCACACAGGGCACATCAGGCGGAATGGGCTGGCAAGCAGAATGGATCCAGTATTTCTAAGTTTCTGGTGGTGATGGAAAGAGCCATTAAGCCGCAGCGACTCATGATGACCCTTCAGGAGGTTTTCAAGGCAAGAGACATTCACAGGCAGTTTGCGGTTGCCTGCCTCTTTGTAGCAACCCCGGTATTCCTTGCTGGTCTCCCGTTCCAGTACTAACCTGGGCTGACCCTGCTTAGCTTCCAAGATCAGTACAGACGTTTTATTTCAGACTTGCGCTGAGTATCGTGAGGCCCTTCCTTCTGCCTCCGCCCACTCTCCTCTGAAGCTGGAGCAACCCCTTGCAAACCAAGAGGATGCGCTCCAGGTACCTCTTAGTTCAGATGCTGCCTGTTCACTTTGTACGTGCTTTTTTGTGTGTCCCGTCTCTTTGTATAACAGAAGTCATGGACGACTGCTCCACTAACTGCAATGGAAATGGAGAATGCATCTCCGGCCACTGCCACTGCTTCCCAGGCTTCCTCGGTCCAGATTGCGCACGAGGTAAGGCTGCGTAATTGAAACAAGCAAGGAGGGCATAACTGGCTTTTGAACGAGCGTTCAGTAATTTTGAAAAGTGGCAAACAGGGCGGGATATTGGCACTTGGACGTCTCCACCAGGCAAAGATGCCGGTGTCAGCAGTTTCGAAATGGCCGCTTAATGTCATCTTCCCAGCTACCGAACAGGTTACGGCAGAGATGACTGTGGGCTGGAACATAAAAATCCAGTTTAAAGTTGAAGCAATCTAAAGGAACAAGCTTGAATCTGCACATCGTATTTGTATTGCTCCCCAGATAAGCATGTTCTGTTTCACACTCTTGCTCACTGAACCAAGATAGAACCAAGATTGGTAGGGGCTCATTTCCTCCAGTGTTTAACTGGTTCGAAGACGGAGGGTAGCTCCGACTTGGCTGCAGGATCGAAATGCAAGTGCAGCTCCTCGAGAGCAGATTTTTCGAAATGCAAGTGCAGCTCCTCGAGAGCAGCAGCGTCGCCACTTCAAAGCTGGGTGCATAAAAGCCCCCAGCTCTTTGCCATTGTGTTGCCTGAAGCACCCACTGTCAGCCGGCAGGAACCTGTCCTGAGCTGTCTGCTGGAGGTCACTGGAAGTTTCACCTTGGTGGAACAGATCAAGGCACTAGCTGGCATTTCAAGGTCCTTGTCTTTTGTTCTGATCTTTTAGTTGTAGAGAACTTTCCCCAAAGAGGATCATGCTATGTATAAGCAGATTTTCCACAATGAATCTTGTTATAGGCTCTGTTCGGATGCCACAGACAAACTTTGGCTTGTTCCGTTATGAGAACAAACCTTTGAAGTCTTCACACTTGCACATTCCCTCTTTCTTTCCATTGTGCAGAGTTTGGAGACTGAAGATTCCCTGCTTCCCAAGGAACCACGGTTAGTCCTGTTGTCCAAGTAGACAAAAGAGCAAGCAGTGCTTTGTCTGCAAACTGGGATCCCAAACCACAGTTAAACGGTAGTTTGGAATCCAAATTTGTGGGGCAGAAACAAATTTCATTTTTTGTCCAGACACCCATATTCAAACTCACGATTAACTGGAGCGAGTTGAGGGCTTTTGTCTTCCAAAGCAACGTGATGTGCAAGGAGAAGGAGGCAAAGGGCAAGCCAAAAAACACAACTGTTAATTGGGCTTGTGCCTTTCACAGACAAACTGTGCAATACAGCCTCGGTTCTTGTAACGAACAAGCTGCAGTTTATCCTTGATTTCTGAGTGCAGCCAGGTTGTAGCACCTAAAAATAGGTAGCAGAGAAGGATGAGTATTTTGCAAACTACTGGATGGAAGGGGATGCCTTCAAGCTTTTGGGAGGACTGGAAACATAAAAGTCAAAAGTGTGAAAAGAGAAGGACGTGGCAGAGTGTCGTGATTCACTTGTATAGGTAAGGCTGGCCTAGATGATTTTGATCTAATGTCAAACTGAGTGACAGCTAGAGGCTGCAAAGGAGGCTGGCTCTAACCCATTTGAAGCAGTCCAGCCTGGCACTGAGATATTGCATGAGGATTGCATCAGCTGTGTGCTGATTGGCTCATGGTTGTATATATGTACAGAGTGTACAGTGTACTGTGTCTATCACTTGAATTGGTTGCAGCGGAGCACTTTGACACTGAGAACTGTATATTGGGGAAGCTGGGTGTGAATAAATTCACTGTGTGTTTGCACCTAAGCTCTGGACTGCAGTCTTCTTTGGGTACTCTAACTCCCTTTGGGCACTGACGTGCTAGCCAGCCTTCCGCGCACCATGACACAGAGTTGGAAGTAGAACTGGGGAGATCTTTGCATGACAGTCCTGTAGACATCATAAATATCTGAGCTGTTTCACCATCTGCAGATTCCTGCCCCGTGTTGTGCAGTGGGAACGGGGAGTATGAAAAGGGTCATTGTGTGTGTCGCAATGGATGGAAAGGTCCCGAATGTGATGTTCCGGAAGAGCAGTGCATTGACCCCACCTGCTTTGGTCATGGGACATGCATCATGGGAATTTGCATCTGTGTCCCTGGATACAAAGGAGAAATATGCGAGGAAGGTTTGTGTCTGTCTTTCTTTCTTTCTTTCTTTCTTTCTTTCTTTCTTTCTTTCTTTCTTTCTTTCTTTCTTTCTTTCTCTCTTTCTTTCTCTCTTTTTCTCTTTCTCTCTCTCTCTCTCTCTCTCTCTTTCTTTCTCTTTCTTTCTTTCTCCCTCCCTCTCCCTCTCCCTGGACTGCAACCCTGGACTTCTTAAAGCAGTCAAGGAGCCCTAATTCTACACTGAAGATATTGTCAAGGACGCATTCCTTGTTTTTATCAATAATCTTAGACTATCTTCAGAGTGATTGGTTTATTTGTAACATCAAGGGATATTTCTCTGTGTCACAAAATGTCGTTTATACAAACAAAGATTTAAATCATTGTCAGCTTGTAAATGAGAGAAGTATTTGCTAGTTTTAAGTGAACATTGGGTGGCAAAGGCGACTGAAAGAAAATGGGAACCAGTTTGGGATAAAGTTTCAGCCTGAGACTGGGGACACCAAGGTTCCATTCATGATTTAGCTTCTGGTTCTCACTGAGTTTGATTCTGAGAGCCTGCAGAGCATGCTCACCCTAATTTTTTTTTGTCTTTCTTACCCAAAATCGTTACCCCCCCCCATGTACTATGTTACCATCCCACATTATTGCAGCTTTTCTGTTTGCAAGACTGAACATTATACAATGGTTTTGCCAGGGAGATTTTTTGAATAGGCCCTACACTGGCAGAATTTGCCCTTGTGGCCTTAACAGGATTGATACATCCTTTCACACCCTACTGGAATGCAGATTTTTTTTTTTGAGATTATGAGGGATTGCCATATGAAGCCTTTTGCTCAGTGATAAGGATCTCAAGATCTCAAGATCACTCTAGCAATTGCAAAATTTGTCTCAGTCCTTTTAGCCCTTGCATCTAAAAAATAAGAGACAAGTGTTTTCTGCTGCTCAAGATTCGCAAATCAATGCACTTCCAAGGGTCCGAAAGGAAAGGTTCTCACTGAGTGGCCTTGAATCTGTTATCATCTAACAGCATAACGTAGCCCTACCTTTCCTTCTGAACAGGCTTTCCAAGGTAGGCTTTACATCAGTATAAAAATAAGCAGATAAAGCCTGGCACACACAGTTAATAGCTATGGTATTCCACATTCCACCTAAAATAAGTCTCAACTTGCCATCTGAACATTGGCAGTGAGGGGGCCAGGTGAGTCTCTCTTGGGAGGAAGATCTGAAGTTTAGGTACCACCTAGAGAAGGCTCTTTACTGTGTAGCCACCCATGACAGTGAAATGGGATGGGGGGAACCTGGAGTACCTCCAAAGATTACCTGAGCGAAGAGGTAGGGTACTGTGGGATAAGATAATATTCCATTGGCCTGAAAAATGTTTGTGTTAAGGCTTGTTCAGGCCACACATAACACCAAACCACAGTTAAGATATTGGCATATTTCAAGCTTGTCAAACCATGGTTTCTAATCAGGCAGTAGTCACAACCAATGTTCCCTCTAAGCTGTAGAGTCTTGTGAGCAAAAATTGTACTTTGTGAGCTACTGGCATTAAAGCTGTGAGCAAGCAGTTTGGCTACTGCATAAATTAGTTTGCTCTGGAGCCCTCCTTCCTGAGCGAAGACAAAAATGTGTGAGCTAGGCTAAAAAAGGCCTAGCTCATGCTAACTCAGCTTAGAGGGAACACTGATCATAACCAGAATCATAAACCATCATTTGGCGCAGGTTTGTAAACTGTCATTTTTGCTACATTTGGCGTGATGTGATGTCTGAACTGACAAACCAAGTTATTGTTCCTGGAGTGCTGCGTGACAGGGAAAACAAATGCAGGCTGTTCCTAAACCATGGTTTGCCTGTGCGGCTGGAGGTTCGAATCGTACTTTTGGTTCTGAACGATGAGCAGTACAAAACATTCCGTGTGCTGCCCAAACTGAGTCACTGCGTAATAAAACTAACCTTATTAAGCTGTGCAAAATTTTAACTTGGCGTGAAAAAAATTTTTTTCGGTGTTTTGCCCTGAACAATTTGATTTCATTGTCTCCTTTCCCCCTTTCTCCAGAGGACTGTCTAGATCCTATGTGCTCCGGCCACGGGGTCTGCGTCCAAGGGGAATGCCACTGCTCCATGGGCTGGGGCGGCGTCAACTGTGAGACTTCACTTCCTGTCTGCCAAGAACAGTGCTCAGGGCATGGCACCTTCCTTCTGGATACTGGAATGTGTAACTGTGACCCCAAGTGGACGGGCTCTGACTGCTCAACAGGTAAAATGAGGATTTCCATTAATCCTACCCACTTACACAAGCTTAAACTTGGGCTTTTCCAGAAAACAGAGGCTAATATCCTACGAATGTTGGTATGTTCAAGTTTGGTTTGCCACAAACAATTCCTAGGTTTTGGAGGGGAGAGGTGAGTATAGTTGCTGTATAGTTGCTATGAACAAAATCATAAGTTGTTGGTAAAGGTAAAGGTTCCCTTGCTTGAAAGCCAGTCGAATCCGACTCTAGGGTTGCGGTGCTCATCTCCGTTTCAAAGCCGAAGAGCCAGCGCTGTCCGAAGATGTTTCCGTGGTCATGTGGCCGGCATGACTAAACACTAAGGCGCACGGAATGCTGTTACCTTCCCACCAAAGTGGTACCTATTTATCTACTTGCAATGTCTTGCTTTCGAACTGCTAGGTTGGCAGGAGCTGGAACTAGAGACGGGAGCTCACTCCATAATGCGGCACCCGGGTCTCCAACTGCTGAACTACCGACCTTCCACAGCCTGCAGTTCAGCGTCTTAACCACTTGAGCCACCGCAGCTCCATTTAAGTTGTTGGTAGCCCTTTGCAAGACAAGGCTTCTCTTCATGCAACCCCCCCCCCCCCACAGATTTTCAGTAGGGAGCCTGAGGGGAGAAGATACAGGGCAGGTTGGAATGGGAATAAGACCAGAACTTAGCCAAGGGCTTCAGAACATAATTTTATCCTCACAGAAACCCTAAGGTATAGATTAGTTGGAGAGCTGCTTGCCCAGAGCCACCAGTGTGTTTTGTGTCCTAAGTCGGGACTCGAATTCTGGCTTTCTTATAGGGCAAACTTCAACCCTCTAGCTAGCTACCACTGTGCTGGTGCTAATTAAAAGTTCATCAGAGAGCGGAACTTGGGCATTACAGCCAAACTTTCATCGCCATTCTGCTATACCAGCTGCAATGTTGTCTAAACAATTTTTGTTAAATAATTCAGAGGGAAGAATCTGAAGACAAAATCCATGCGCCCAAAGGAATTTCGGGTGCCATCAAGCTCTGTTAATGTCAGTGAAAGTTGCGCGGATGACATCGAGGGGATGTGAATTGCCCTCTTTCAATATTCTAAGCGTGCTCCATCTTACTCCACTTCTTTCGGTTTGAGAAATATCCTCTGCACTTAACATGGGAAATAATTCTAATATTGACTGTCTTTAATTAGAAAAAGACTCTTTGCTGACTATTCTTGATTTCATTAAGGAAGGGTGGAAGGAAGATAAAGCTAATGCTAATTGCCTACACTCGAGCAGGCTTTTAAAAAGTCTTTGAAGCTTGTTTCCTTGCTGATTTGAGTACTTATTTTGCCTCTAAAGCTTTTGCACATCTCTAATCAACTTGTCTACGTTTCGTATTGATTTGTATAGCGGAAAGCAATCCTGTGATTACTGGCCCGGACTCCTTTTCACTTAATTCTGCAAAGTTTCTGATGAACTTTTGAGAGCCTTAACCTACTACAGAAGGAAACTGGGGGGGGAGGGGGGGTTATGATCAAAGGCATGCATTAACTTGGTAATGAAATACAAAACTTGAGCACTCTATAGCCAAGAATGGATTAAGGCTCGTTTTAGCTATTGCCATAAAAATATAATATTACTTTGATGAGTAATTCAAGAGCACTTTTGCATGGTTAATCCCTTGATTGTTTTTTTCCTATCTTAAGTCTCACTGAAAGGCACAGGCTGCCCCCCCCCCCATATGTGGAGAGCAGTGTGAGGACATTTGTCAAAATCTCCTCCTCTGCCCAACTAGGCACCCCCTGTGCAGACATTCTGCTGATGGACCCAGTTGCACCTGCTGGCCAGCTCTGTTCCTGGCCTCACCTTATTAAGAAGAACACTCCTCTCTGGGAAGACTGTGTCACTCGTGTTTTTCTTAGGATTAATCTTAGTTTAGAATCCCAGATTGTAGTCAATATATTAAAGCATCTAGTGTGGGTACCAAATATACCAGGAAGTCTTCAATCTTGGCTCCTCCGTGTGATTCCAGTAATTTAAGGCTCGTTCACATCATATCGTTTGACTTTAGAAAGTTGCCTTCCGCTGAGATCAAACCATTGGTTCTCTTGGCCTATTGAAAGCGCCTCAAGTTTTGGTGTTTTTTTTAAAACCCTGATAGAACAGGAACTCTTCAAATAGGCCGCAGTTGACCCAGTGATGCAAGGAGCGTAATGTGGGAGTGGATGTTCCTTAAATAACGCTTTTAGTTTTTAATTTCCTGATACAAATGAGACTGTATTATCTTCGAACTTGTTTCTGAAACCCGAAAAGGCTGTCTCAATAACACCATCCTGTGTTGGTGGACAGTTTTCTTCTTTGTAGGTGTTCAGAACATTTCTCTTTCATCTGTCCTCTTCCTGGCATTAGAGAGTCTATGGATAGGACCCAGATTAGCTTGCAGAGATAGATATGCGCACGCACTTCCATGAACACCCTGGGGAAGCGCAAAGGTCATTTCCCAATCCCAGCTCTTTGTACCAGGTTGGAGAATTATAAGGGTGTCCATGGGAACCCTGGGCAGTTATGGAACCCTCCATGGGGCTTTTTGGATTCCAGTTTATAGAAATTACAAGAAGAAGAGATTGGATTTATACCCCACCCTTCACTCGGGGTCTCAGAGCGGTTTACAATCTCCTTCCCCTCCTCTCCCCACGACAGAGGTAGGTGGGGCTGAGAGAGCTCTGAGAGAACTTTGACTGACCCAAAATCACCCTGCTGGCTTCATGTAGTGGAGTGAGGAATCAAACCTGGTTCTCCAGATTAGAGTCTGCCGCTCTTAACCACTGCACCAAACGGGTGTATATTTGGTACCCATACCACAAGAAATGTAGTCGGGGGGGCGAAGGAGGGAGAAAAGGAGTGGGAAAGACATGTTAAACATTATATGTATTCCCAGGGGTTGTTTCATAGAAAAAGAGATAGGGGAACTCATTAGCATATGCCACACCCCCTGACATCACCGGAAGTGTGTCATAAGGCCACACCCACCACTCAGTTAGTCTTTGTCTTAAAGGTTAATCTTAAAGGTGCTATTTGTTAGTCTTAAAGGTGCGGGAGTGCGAGGAAGTCCCGCGAAGGCCCCCCCGCCCCCAACGGTCCTGGCCGCTGCCACCGCCGGCCTTGCGGTTCCACTGCCGAGCCCCATCAGGGGCCCGGCAGTGGACCTGCAAGGCCGGCGGGAGGGCGGGGAAGACCTGGGCGGGGCTTTGTCGTGTGCCCCCCGCACCTCACCCGGGGGAACGGCGATCCCTTGCGATCCCCCCAAATCGACCTCTGTGTATTCCTGCATTCCTCCAAAATTCAGGCAACGCTTGTATGTTCATACGACTTCTTAGCGGACAGGCTTGGAGAGAGATGCAGAAATGATCATCTTGACCTCCAGAACCCCGCGTTCCTCATCTCAGTCCCTTTCCAATGGATTTCCCGTGGATTCATTTAAATGTTCATACTATTTCAGGGTAATGTTCCTTGTTCAGGCGCATTCCATTGATGGACCACCCCCCTCCAAGTAGTTCGATACAAACGTCCCTTGGGAAAGGCAGATTTCAGGTGATCTAGATCCAGGTACAGTGCAGGGCTGCTTGGATGATTCCCCACCCCATTAATGGTGATTGGGGGGTTGAAGGGAAGGAGGGTTAGCTGGAGCTGAGTCCAGGACTGGTCCTATGATGTGAACCGTTTGGTCAAATACCCAACAGACTTTCAGATACATGTGGAGCTTTTAACAATCTACTCTGTGGCCACATTCCAAAGCACAAAAGCTTAAATCTGCTATTTCTTAGTTTAAAGACTTCCCTATCTCAGGTTCCCACTTGTCGCCTGCAACCCCTCATGCTGATTCTGGTCTATCTGTGCCGTTTGCCTTAGGACTAGTTATTGCTTTTTCCCTCCCATGGATTCTCCAAGTCTTACTTTCTTGACTTTACCATGCTACACCTACCCTTTACATTCTCTGCTCAGAATGAGCTCCTTTTATGTGACTTCCTTTACTTTGGAATGAGTCACAGGCAGAGATATGCCCTGAAAGAAATTGCCTTCTGCCGTAGTCAGATTATTGACAAATACTTTTACTGAGCCTCTTAACCTGGAGTATAAATCTCAAATGACTCTCCTATTGCTGTTCTGTGTACAACACAGAAACCGAGTAATTGAGATACATATGAAAAAAGGACACTTTTTTGACTGGGGATTTTTATAGACATTTACTTTTAAAGCAGAACACACACGCAAATGTTCATGTTGGTGGAGGGCACAGTTGTATTTCGTCTCTTCCCTGGGTCTGGTGTATTTTCCCTGCTGTTTTGTTATATTTCTGCTCCTTTATTTTAAAACGTTGCCTACAAAGACTTATGCTGACCTACCAGTGTAAGCCTGAAAAAAAGGAGAAAAAGAAAGTGGTGGGGGGATCCTCCTTCAGACATAGACAAAATTTTAGTTTTTTCAGTATATCAGTATCATGGATATGTATGCGTGGCTAATACCCAGTGGTGAACAAGGAATCCTTTACAGGGGTCTTTGTTTCAGAAACTTTGGCCATGTGAAATGTGAAGTCATCGTATGTATATCTCAATGGATTAGGTAGGTTACTTTCCTATTATATACAAAAATACTGTGTTGATTGTGGAGAAATCAGTAGAATGTATTTAGATCAGGTGGCAAACATGATTCGTCAGTCTCAAAAGAAAAATTTAAAGTAAAATAGAAACTCAGATGACAGGAAATAAAAGCCCGCTCAGCCATTCGTTCGACATCTTTGGAATTTTGTGCTGAACGGTCCTGGTGGAAATGTATTTTTCAGCACAGGAAAGAGTTAGCAAATACAAAATAACTTGTTATATATTATCCAGGAAGCAGGTGTATTATAGTTTTAACAGAACCTGTAACTTCAGTGGTCTGCTCAAAAGTGGACTTAGGAAAATTAAGGTGGTTACAAAGCCAAACTAATCACGATATGAAACATCTGTGATTAGATTTCCTGATTC